TTCACTGACTGACATAAAAATGAACTAGCCAAATCTTTCTGCATATATTCTGAGATGCTCACTTTTTATTACAGGGATATACCAGATATTTCCAATCCCTTCTGCTTTAAAAAGAATACTACTACTAATCAGAACAGCTAAGATAGAAATGTATACTATTAGAGGCGAGTTATAGATTTCTCATTCCCAGGTGTGAAGGATTAACAAGACATTGTTAATTTCTTCTTAATAAGCATAAAATAAAATAAAAACCAAATGTGCAACCCAGAATTTAAAGTTTAAGACTGTTGTCTTGAAAAGCATTATCACTTTTGGATAATGCAAATCCTAGGAATTAATTGAAAAAACATAAATCGTTATCCCTAAATACTAAAAAGACTTATGTGACCAGGCTCACACAAGTTAACTTACTTTAAAACCAATAGGCATGTTTTTAAAACTGTGGGGCCTATATATACATATGAAAAGTGAAGCTTTAAAGGCATGTGGATAATGAATTCTAATGAGCAAAAGCAAAGATCACTAGGAGATGATGCAATTCTATTGAATTTAAGGTGACTTACTTTTGAACAGACTAGGGTCCACCATTATTATTATTATTATTATTATTATTATTATTATTATTATTATTATTAGAAACACAACAAGATGAATCCACAGCAGATAAGATCATTCTGCTGGCTGTTGTATTGGATCACATGCCGGTTGGACACTTCCCAAGTGTCTAGGACTGTGTGATGTATTGGCGAATAATGCATGCAGATCCCAGTAAGGTGGCCTTCTGTAGTTGACAGATGGTAATTTTGTCAGTGCCGATTGTGTTTAAGTGCAGGCCAAGGTCTTTAGGCACTACACCCGGTGTGCCGATCACCACTGGGACCACCTTTACTGGCTTGTGCCAGAGTCTTTGCAGTTCTATCTTTAAATCCTCATATCGCGTCAGTTTTCCAGTTGTTCCTGTTGTTGTTGTTGTTGTTGTTGTTGTTGTTGTTATTATTATTATTAATATATCCCACTTTTTATCTTCAAAAGGAGACTCAGTGTAGATTCACTAACTGTATTATATGAGGGTTGCTGTGAGGTTTCCAGGCTGTATGGCCATGTTCCAGAAGCATTTTCTCCTGACATTTTGCCCACATCTATGGTAGGCATGCTGAGGATGCCTGCCATAGATGTGTGTGAAATGTCAAGAGAAAATGCTTCTGGAACATAGCCATACAGCCTGAAAAACACACAACAACCCAGTGATTCCTGCCATGAAAGCCTTCGACAACACATTGTATTATATAAGTCTACACTGACCATATAATGCTGTTTGAAACTGCATTATATGGCAATGACAGTGTAGATGGGGCCACAGGCAAGACTCCACATACCCAAACATCTGAAAAATCAACAAAATATTCACTAACCCAACTCCCTTAAATTGAATTTGGTTTTCAGTTGTCTCCACAATCCACCATCCTTGGGGATTCTGGGAGCTGTAGTTTTAAAAAACCAAACCTTTCCTAAGCTCTGAACTGAAAGAACTCTGATCTAAGTATCACAAGATCGAAATTTCACAAGATGTAATTTGAAACACAGCTTCTTTCAGTTGCCAGATATTTTCTGTTATTAAACCAATCCCTGTTTAAATTGCAAACTTCACTGGTCCCTTGTACAAAATATTATGGATGTTGACGCTATTTTTCCCTCCTGCTGCATCCTATGGACTCGCCGCTACTACTACTGTATTGTTATCAACATAGAGCAAGAGAAAACTGCATGTTGTCCTTGGTACATTTAGATGGATGCTGGATTTTTATTCACACAGACACAAAGATTTATGTGAATTGTGTGGTATAATAGACTAGATGGGTTCATGAACAAGCACTTTTCATTTAGACTTTTCTAACTGCACCGCTAAAATATGAATTATTGGGGTTTGTGGTTGACCTCTCATCATAGATTTGCATCTAACAAAAACATTGTATTTTAATTCAAGACAACCAAGAATCATGGGCCCCTTCTCAGAATAAATGGGAAAACAGCTGTGAAATGCAAAAGTTTGCAAACAAATCAATGCAAGATCCATGTGGGATTTCTTCTCATTGCTATTTACACCAATCTTTTCCCAGCAGGGTTATGGTGCAGACCGACTCAAGTACCACAAGAATGTCAAAGGCAAAATGTTCACAGACAACCCACAACTCCACAGTATTGTGTAGTTAATTCAAAGAACATGGTCAACAGTTGATTTCAGTAGGAAGCAATGATCTTCTATCCCAAACCTTTGGTTTCATAAGGCTTGCGGATAGGATTGAGAGCATACAGGCATTTGCTTATATGGCCTGTTTAAAATCACTGGTACAAATAGTAAGAACATTAGGTTGTTGTGAGTTTTCCGGGCTGTATGGTCATGTTCCAGAAGCATTATTTCCTGATGTTAAGCCTGCATCTATGGCAGGCATCCTCAGAGGTTGTGAGGTCTGTTGGAAACTAGGAAAACAGGGTTTATATATCTGAAGAATGTCCAGGGTGGGAAAAAAAGCTCTTTTCTGTTTGAGGTAGGTGTGACTGTTGCACTTGATCACCTTGATTAGCATTTAATGGCATAGCGGTTTCTAGCTCTGGCTTCTTACTGCCTGGGGGAATCCTTTGTTGGGAACTGATTAGCTGGCCCTGATGGTTTCTTGTTTGGAATTCCCCTGTTTTTGAGTCTTGTTCTTTATATACCATTATAATTTTAGAATCAGACTATACAGAGAAGCCATTGAAATCCGCATATGTGGACAATAAAATGGAAAAAAACATGAAAATGAACAAAATCTGGCTACCAGTATTTTAAAAAAACTCTAATATCATAATGGTAAAGGAAGATCAACACTCAAAAACAGTGAAATTCCAGACATGAAACAATCAGGGCCAGCTAATCACCTCCCAACAAAGGATTCCCTGGGCAGTAAGAAGACAGATCTTGAAACTGCTAAGCCATTAAATGCTAATCAAGGTGACCAATTGCAGCATTCACACCTACCTCAAAGCGACAAGAGTGCTTTCTCCCACCTTGGGACATTCCACAGATATATAAACTGCATTTTCCTTGTTTCCAGCAGACCTCACAACCTCTGAGGATGCCTGTGATAGATGCAGATGAAACATCAGGAGAGAATGCTTCTGGAACATGGTCATACAGCCTGGAAGACTAACAACAACCCAGTGAATCTGGCCATGAAAGCCCTCGATAATACAGTAGGAAGATTTCTTCTCAACCATGAAGCCTAGGAACTTTTACAAAAAAGCATGCCTGAACTAAGGGAAATGAAAGGTGCCTCTGTGTAAAAGGCATTTTTCAATATTCTGATTGGGGAATTCACTCCTGTGAACCTTTAGGGCAGAGAGTCATTTGTAACTGTTGGTTTACATTTTTTTGGATTGATATCACACAGTTGTCTACCTTGAGAAGCCGAAATTGGTCACAATAATCAAGTCGGAGAAAGAAGCACATCTGCAGGGATCCTTGTCGCATCCTTGAGTAAGTATTCAGTTTTCTTTTTCTAACTAGGAGAAAAAGGTGAAGAAATGCAGAGAAGAAAAAGAGAAAATATATTTCCTGATATGATTTTGTGGGGGGGGGGGGATAATGGTGGGGAGGCAAAGTGAGACTGTTGCCCCCAATGAGAATTAATTCAGTTTCCCAGCTTCACCATTGTGTTAGCTGACAATGAGAGAAATGTGAAGAATAGCAGAGCAGGGGGGAATTCATGGCCTGGAATCACTGGGTTGTTGTGAGTTTTTCCGGGCAATATGGTCATGTTCCAGAAGCATTCTCTCCTGACATTCACCTGTATCTATGGCAGGCATCTTCACAAACTCTGGGGATACCTACTATAGATACAGGTGAAACTGTCAGGAGATAATGCTTCTGGAACATGGCCATACACCCTGAAAAAACTCACAACAATCCAAAATAAGAATGTATTTCTTATTCTAACTTTGTGCTGGGGTGTAGTTATGTAGGGGGTTGGGCACAAAAAGAGATAATTGGGTTGCTGTAAGTTTTTCAGGCTGAAAGGTCATGTTCCAGAAGCATTCTCTCCTGACCTTTCACCTGCATCTATGGCAGGAATCCTCAGAGGTTGGGAGGATGCCTGCCATAGATGCAGGCGAAACGTCAGGAGAGAATGCTTCTGGAACATGGCCATACAGCCCGGAAAAACTCACAACAACCCAAAATAAGAAATGATTTCTTATTCTAACTTTGTGCTAGGGTGTAGTTGTGTTGGGGGTTGAGCACAAAAAGAGAGAATTGGGTTGCTGTAAGTTTTTCGGGCATCTTCAGAGGTTGTGAGGATGCCTGCCATAGATGCAGGCGAAACGTCAGGAGAGAATGCTTCTGGAACATGGCCATACAGCCCAAAAAACTTACAGCAACCCAGTGATTCCGCCCATGAAAGCCTTCGAAAATACAAAGAGACCATTGCCAGTCCTCCACTTTTTAAGAACTTCAGCAACACAAAACCTGTACTTAGAATTACAGAAATAGGGCAGGGAAAGTCACTAAGGAAATGCAGCACAGTGAATGGCAGAGGTGAACAATTTCCCACGCCTCACTCTCTGCAAGGTTGGAAAATTGAAGGAAATTTTCATTGTGGAGCATAATTTTTATTGCAGAGGGAATTGATGCCTCGTTTTTGTGCCTCGCCTCCCTTCCCTTCCCCTTTTCCCTTCCCCACATCCATGACTTTGTGCTGTATTCTTTGTTTTGGAGAGAGGCAGGAAAACCGAGCAGAGATACCGGCTTCCCGGGGAATCTAAACCAGGAAACAGCAGCGCGATATGACATTAGAATGTCTCTCAATCTGAATGCATGGAGGAGGGAATGGATGGATTCCTGATTCTCGCTGTGCCTTTAAGCATCTCCGGCGCGGAAGGGAGGAGGGGGAGGCACTGGAGATTGGAGCCCATTCCCCCTCCTCTCCATTCATTCCGGACCAGGCCAACGCCTCGGGGATACCTACCCTGGAGCAGGGCTTCCATCTCAGTCGGCTTTCCCACGGGAGAGAGCTTCCTTAGGCGTGGAAATGGGTCAGTTCAGTCCACACCGGTGAGGAAGTCGGTCCGTCCCCGGTCCAGGTTCAACACTTTCCAAAACGGTCGAAGCAGAAGCAGAAGCAGCCCCCGACAAAAGCAGAGGAAGCCAGGCAGTGTATATGAGAGAGAGAGAGAGAGAGAGAGATCATGCCAAAAGACCTGAGTTCTCAGCCCCCGAAACTGGAAAGCCCCCCGCCCCCCACTCCTAACACCTTTGGATCGGCAATCGATGATTAACCAAGGTTGCTCTTTCTTGATATTGAAAGGGGAGAGGGGGCAAGGTAACTGCAGGCTTTGAAATGCACCGATGCAGCAACCTTGTTGCTTTCCCTTCCTGGTCCTTTCCGTTTCCCCTGCAAGCCCTGTGAGGAGCGGCTGAGGGAGCTAGATACTGGGTTGTTTCCAGAAGCATTCTCTCCTGACGTTTCGCCTACATCTATGGCAAGCATCCTCAAAGGTTGGGAGGTGTAGGAAAATTGGATATATATACATTTGTGGAAAGTACAGGGTGGGAGAAAGAACTCTTGTCTGTTGGAGGTAGGTGTGGCTGTTTCAATTGGCCACCTTGTTTAGCATTTAATGGCCTAGCAGTTTCAAGGTCTGGCTTCTTCTTACTGCCTGGAGGAATCCTTTGTTGAGAGGTGATTAGTTGTCCCTGATTGTTTCTCGTCTGGAGTTCCCCCTTTTTAGTGTTGTTCTTTATTTACTGTCCTGATTTTAGAGTTTTTAATACTAGTAGCCAGATTTTGTTCATTTTCATGGTTTCGTCCTTTCTGTTGAAATTGTCCACGTGCTTGTGGGATTTCAGTGGCTTCTCTGTGCAGTCTTTCATGGTAATGCAACTAAGTAATGTTTCGCTTGGAGAAGAGAAAGCAGAGAGGGAACTTGAGAGCCATGCTCACATATCTGAAAGGATCTCGCATTGAGCAGAGGACAAGCTGCTTTAAAGACCAGGACATGGAGCTGACAGTTTCAAGCTACAGGAGAAAAGATTCCGCCTAAAGCTTGGGGGGGGGGGGGGTTAAATCCTGACCGTAAGAGCTGTTTGGCGGTGAATATGTTTCTCCGGATTGTGGTGGCATCTTCTTCTCTGCGGGATTTATAAGGAGAAGAAGGTGGATGGCCATCTGTTAGGAGTGCTTTGTTTGTTTCTGCATGGCAAAGGGTTGGACTGGATGACCTTAGAGGTCCCTTCCAGCTCTATGATCCTCTTTTTAATGCTTTTTGTTCGTGGCAGGGGCGACTTAGGAAACTGCAAATTGCTGCCCGGTGTGAGAGAATTGGCCGTCTGCAGGGACGTTCCCCAGGGGACACCCGTATGTTTTACCATCCTGTGGGAGGCTTCTCTAACTCTATGATAATCTTTTCAATGCTTTTTTTTTCATCTCGGGTAACTTGAGAAACTGCAAGTTGCTCCCGGTGTGAGAGAATTGGCCGTCTGCAGGGACATTCCTGGGGAACATCCAGATGTTTTACCATCCTGTGGGAGGCTTCTCTAACTCTATGATCTTCTTTTTAATGCTTTTTTCCCATGTCAGGGGTGACTTGAGAAACTGCAAGTTGCTCCCGATGTGAGAGAATTGGCCGTCTGCAGGGACGTTGCCCAGGGGACACCCGTATGTTTTACCATCCTGTGGGAGTCTTCTCTAACTCTATGATTTTCTTTTCAATGCTTTTTTCATGTCAGGGGTGACTTGAGAAACTGCAAGTTGCTCCTGGTGTGAGAGAATTGGCCGTCTGCAAGGACGTTCCCCAGGGGACACCCGGATGATTTACCATCCTGTGGGAGGCTTCTCTCACGTCCCCGAATGAGAAGCTGGAGCTGACAGAGGAGAGCTCACTCTGCTTCCCAACCCCTCGAAAGGCAACCTTCCTCTTTCCAGTCCAAGGACACAAGTGTATAGACAGGAGCACCGCTTCTCTATCTGAACTAACTGTGTCTGCTCTTAGGGAGATATAGTGGGGCTTTTATTTTAAAGGGGGGGGGGTCTAAATTGGCAGGCAGTTTGAAACTGATTCTGCCTTCTTGCAAGCACTTGCAAAGACAAATGACTCTCCCCATCCATCATCTGTGAAATCTCCTAAAACTATGAGGACGAGCTCAAGGTGGGCTCAAAAGCGCCCTTTGCATCTTCCGGAGATGGATCACAGGCAGCCTTGATAGTTCCTGCGAGGGCTCCACGTCAAGAGCAGTCATCATATTTCTTCCTGGTTGATCATTTAGTACACGTCTGATTGATCGCTCCAACTACAAGGGAGTCTGGGTGGTCCAATTTGGCCAGATCCTTTGGAGAGGACTCATCCTAGTTTTGGGGAACTCTCCCCCSCTAAACTCCCCAATTCTAAGTTTCCCCCAGTTTCAAACCTTTTGCTGAACTCAAAATAGTGACAGGTGTTTTGAGCTGGCTGGGGGTTGCTGCGAGTTTTTCGGAAGGTATGGACATGTTCCAGAAGCATTATCTCCTGACATTTCGCCCACATCTGTGGCAGGCATCCTCAGAGATTGGAAACTAAGCAAGTGAGGTTTATATATCTGTGGAATGTCCGGGGTGGGAGAAAGAACTCTGGTCTGTCTGTTGCACTTGGCCACCTTGATCAGCATTGAATGGCCTTGCAGTTTCAAAGCCTGCCTCGTTGCTGCCTGTGGGAATCCTTTGTTGGGAGGTGTTAGCTGGCCCTGATTGATTCTTGTCTGGAATTTCTCTGCTTTTTTAGTGTTGCTTTTTATTTACTGTCCTGATTTTAGAGTTTTTGTAAATACTGGTAGTCAGGTTTTTTTTTTTTTTTCGTTTTCACGGTTTCAATTCAGTGCTAATCAAGGTGGCCAATTTCAACCTTGATTAGCACTGTAAATAAAGAACAACACTAAAGAAAACAGGGGAAATCCAGACAAGAAACAATCAGGGCCAGTTAATCACCTCCCAACAAAGGATTCACCCAGGCAGGAAGCAGCCAAGCCTTGGAGCTGCAAGGCTTTTCAATGCTAATTGCAACGTTCACACTTGCCTTAAACAGACAAGAGTTCTTTCTCCCATCCTGGACATCCCACAGATATATACACCTCACTTGCCTAGTTTCCAACAGACCTCACAACCTCTGAGGATTCCTGCCATAGATGCGGGCGAGGGCGAAACGTCAGGAGAGAATGCTTCAGGAACATGGCCATACAGCCCGGAAAACTCACAGCAACCCAGTGATTCCGGCCATGAAAGCCTTAGACGAGACTTCTCATGGTTTAATTGAAATATATTGCTTAGGAACCCATGGAAATGAAGGTTCGCATTCAACTGTTGGAAATAAATGGCGCAGATATATTATTGAGTGCGCCTGTATATATGTGTAATAATTACACCACACACACACCGAGATCTACAGGTTAAGAAGCATGGCTTCTTTAAGAAGTAATACACACCGGGAACCTGTGGGTTTCCCTCCGTGTCAATGATTTTGTGATGCCTTTCCTCTAGATTTGGGGAGAATGGAGGTTAAAAAAAGGAAGTCAAGGAAGAACTTTAGCACACAGTGCTTGAAACTTCACCTTACAATGGAGATTTCCTTTATCGCTTTGTATTTTTCGGTGGGTTGGGATTTCCCTTCCGGCCAGAACCAAGCCTCTCCCTTTCTTAACTCGAATCCGTAGATACTAAACATAAAAAAAAAACTTTTCCAGGGAGAAATCAGCCATTCTTCCCTCTCTGTCTTTCCCAATCCAGGTGTGTGAAAACCACTCGAGTTTCCAGCCCCGATCCCACGTTCCCGAGGGGTCCAAAAGGAGCCCCCGATGACTAATGGGTTAAACCCTTCTGCTGGCAGGACTGAAGACCGACAGGTTGCAGTTCGAATTTGGGGAGAGTGCGGATGAGCTCCCTCTGTCAGCTCCGGCTCCCCATGCGGGGACATGAGAGGCACCTCCTACAAGGATGGTAAAAACATCAAAACATGCGGGCGTCTTCTGGGTAAGGTCCTTGTAGACAGCCAATTCTCTCACACCAGAAGCGACTTGCAGTTTCTCAAGTCGCTCCTGACACGAAATAAATACATTTCAGATCCTTGGAGCCTCCCGGGGATGGGATTGAAGTGCTGCTTGTACTTAGAATCGCAGCCTTCAGGTGTACAGCTGGGTTGGATACAGGCAGAAATAGATGTCTGCGTATTTCCTCAATGGTTCATTCATACCTCTTCCTTCGATATTGATTGGCATTCTCCTGTTCGTGGCATCCGCACTGTAGTATGAATGCAGTTTGTCACCACTTTAGCTGCCATGGCTAATTGGTATGGAATCGTGGGAGTTACAAGATCCTCGGCCTTCTCTGTCCAATAATGCAGGTGCCTCAACAAACTACAACTCCCAGGACTGCATAGCATTGTCAAACTGCATTCATTCTACAGTGTGGATTAGGTATAGTCAAGCTTGGGCCCTCCAGGTGTGTTGGACTCCAACTCCCACCATTCCTAACCGCCTCAGGCCCTTTCCTCCCCCCCCCCCCCCCCCACCGTGAAAGTGGTATCAGATATGGGGAAACTTGGACCCTCCAGGTGTGTTGGACTCCAACTCCCACCATTCCTAACCCCCTGAGGCCCTCCCCCCCTCAGCCGTTAAAGTGGTGTCACACTGCATTCATTCCACAGTGTGGATTAGATATGGGGAAACTTGGGCCCTCCAGGTGTGTTGGACTCCAACTCCCACCATTCCTTTTCCCCCTCAGACGCTTAAGCAGCGAACACCTCCCAACAAAGGATTCCTCCAGGCAGCAACGAGACAGGCTTTGAAGCTGCAAGGCCACTGAATGAGTCCCCCCTAGGGGTGAGAAAAGCGGTATAGAAATACTGTAAAATAAAAAAAAATAATCAAGGTGGCCAAATCCAACAGACTGACGGCTCAGGGGGAAAAGGAAGGGACCCGAGGCTGTTAGGAATTGTGGGAGTTGGAGTCCAAAACACCCGGAGGGCCCAAGTTTGCTCATCCCTGCTGTAGATGCACCTTCCTTTAGCCGATGTTCGCTCTCCTGTGGAGACCTGCAGGGTCTCACTCAATAAATACGTAGTTAAGCTGGAGTATCTGTATCTTCTGGGGGTTCTGCCTTAAGGAAGGATCTTCCCAAGGGCTTGGCTTGAGGGTCTTTGCTCTCCGTGGACCTGGAGTTCCCGCTGCTCCTTGAATAGATTCATATTGAAGGATGCTCTTCACGGCTCGGCAGCTCTAGCTCAGGGCCACCTCTGCGCCAACCGAGCCCTGCCAGGTCATGAGAAGCAGAAGTGACCATCAGTGTAGATGTGTCCTCAGAAGCTGGTCCTTGGGGCTCGCTTCCCAAGGGAGCTGTGTCCCCGTCGGAGGAGGCTGCGTGGGTCGCCTCACCAGATGCCACCCCATATAAGAGAAGTCAACCCTTCTCTTGAAGTCACCGGGAACCAGTTTTTAGTGGAGAGGATGGATATGGAAAAGCAGCTCCTATCTAGGACCCGGAGATTTCAATAGCATGCAAGCGAGGCTGAGGATCGGGGCCTTTCACGCGTCTCTCCCGCCCGCTTTTAGCTCTAGAGTCAAACCGGAGTTATCCGTGCCGTTGGAAAAAGACCACGAACAGGGTTTGGGGGAGAAAGCCAGATCTGCAAATTGGTTGCATTGGATGGGGCTTCCGAGTAAAAGAGAGCCTTTAAAGAGCCAGGAAAAAAAGGATTTTGGGGAGGAAGAAAGATCTTACTGAGTAGACTAAGGCTTGCTTCGAAATTAATGTGTAGAGACACCCGGGAATCAAGAATTTCGCCTGAACCGGGGTTTTGCTCACTGTACACGATAAACAGCCTCGTTCCCTTTTCATTCATTCCTCCAGAAGGAATCAATGAGATTGCGGAGTATCTTCCATCTCCTCATCCTTCTCCTAGAAACCCGGGTGGATCAATGGGTTAAACCCTTGTGCTGACAGGGAGAGCAGGCTGAGCTCCCTCTGTCAGCTCCAGCTCCCCACGCGGGAACATGAGAGAAGCCTCCCACAAGGATGGTAAACACCAAAACATCCGGACGTCCCATAGGCAACGTCTTTGCAGACGGCCAATTCTCTCACACTTGATGCGACTTGCAGTTTCTCAAGTCCCTCCCGGTAGGAAAAAAATTCCTTCTCCTGCATTCTCCTGGACTTGCATTATTGAAGTGAATGCGTCTCCTGTTCCTTTGAATGGTGGTGGGGGAGGGGAAGGGTCGTCTTTGCGCCGGAAAGGAAACATATAAACGGCCTTCTATAGGTTTCTTACCGAGTCCTAAGTTTCCCTGAGGCTTCCTTGGAAATCAGAGCCTTGCGAAGACATTGCCAAGCAAGGGAATCCCAGTCTTCAATCAATCCATCTTAAAGGGAAGGGGAAATCCCATGTTTCCACGCGAGTGTGTGCGATGAGTGTCGGCCCGATCTGGATCGCAGCCCAACTCTACATTGGAGAGCCAAACGTTACAGTAGTCACTCTTACCTTTGGGATTTTACTGGGGAGAGTGCGCGAAATTCAGCCCACGCGAGTGACCTCGTAGGAGAGGGGGCACGCGTGGGCTTCTCCCACTGGGAACCTGGGAAAGATGCCGGGCTTTGCGATGGATCGGGCGCTAGGAGTGGAGGTTCTCGTCCCTTTCACAGGCTGGCATGCCCGCTTCACTGCTTGATGTTGGGTCTGGTTTTGGGGCCACTTTCCGGGCCCCGATCCTGTATGTTTTCTTGCCTGCCTGCTATCCTTTCGCTCCAGAGAAGTGGCTGAAGGAGCTTCTCAGTCTCCTGTGCGCGCCACCAGAGAGGATTCTCGGATAAAACAAATCAGTCTTTCAATCCGAAAAGCCTGACGACACTCCAGAGAAACCCTGAACTCTTCTATCTAAGAAACGGGGGTTTTTATTTCGAAGCTATCGTGTCAGAAGCGACTTGAGAACATACTGCAAATCCCTTCTGGTGTGAGAGAATTGGCCGTCTACAGAGACGTTACCCAGGGGACTCCGGGATGTGTTACCATCCTGCTGGGAGGCTTCTCTCATGTCTCTGACCGTGGGTTTCACGGATAAGGAAGGCAGGCTTTTGCTTCCCAGCTATCTGGATAGAAACATAGAGGGGGAACATCACCCAAGGGCCACCCAGTCCAACCCTCTGCCATGCAGGAACTACAATCAAAGCACTCCCATCCAGTCTCTGAAAATCTCCAGAGAAGGAGACTCCATTACACACATTCCACTGTTCATCCTATTTCCAACCTAATGTTTATGTGGAATTTATTTTCTTGCATTTGGACTCTAGTGATCCGTGCCCTGGTCTTGCTCCTTCCTCGGTGCGACATGCTTTCAAATATTTCAACATGGCTCTCTCTCCTCTCTCTTATAAGCCTTCTTTGATCATTTTGGTTGTACTGTCGAAGGCTTTCATGGCTGGAATCACTGGGTTGGTTGTACTGTCGAAGGCTTTCATGGCTGGAATCACTGGGTTGGTTGTACTGTCGTAGGCTTTCATGGCTGGAATCACTGGGTTGGTTGTACTGTCGAAGGCTTTCATGGCTGGAATCACTGGCTGTTGTAGGTTTTTTCGGGCTGTATGGCCATGTTCTAGAGGCATTCTCTCCTGACGTTTCGCCTGCATCTATGGCAAGCAACCTCAGAGGTTGGAGAGATCTGACCAAAGGAGAATAGAGAGGGAGAGGAATAGCTTCCTTCTATCTATCATCCTACTGATGGAGACTAGAATAAGGGAGTCTGAGGTTCCCAGCAACTCAAGCAGGGGCGCGAGGTGGGCCAAGAGGAAGATGCCCCAAATTAAAATACTAGGAGTGTGTGTGTGTAAGGAGAAAGTCAAACAGTCCAAGTCCCGAAGGCACTTTGCAAAGTTCCTTTGCAAGAAGTCAGCCTTTTCCTGCCACCTTCCAAAGGATGTTTCAGTTGAAGGGAGACTGAAAAACAGAGAAGGGCCAAGTTTAGAGGCGCCTGCAAGCCCATTCTCTGATCTTTTCTCTCTTTCTCCAACAGAGCAGCAGCAAACCCATCTTCTTCCTACGCTTCCTCCCTGCCTTTCTTCAGATATCTCTCCTCTTTAGCGGGCATAAACCTGCGACTTCCTTCCTTCCTTCCTTCCTTCCTTCCTTCCTTCCTTCCTTCCTTTCGGGTTGGGACCTCTTCTGCCCCAACAGTCCCCATCGTCTGTATTATGCCTTCACAGAGTTTCCTCTTCCTTCTTTCTCCTCGAGAGGGTCAGCTTCCTACTTTGCAACATCAAGCAGAGGTGAAGCCGACCGCGGGGGGCGGAGGAGGGGCATCCAGTCACCCCCTTACCTTAAAGGACCCCCAAACAAACCCCAACTTCCTTCCGGAAGTTGAGCGGCTGCCCGATCTCCCCGCCAAAGTCAAACACATGCAGAGACAGAGGGAGGGAGGTAAGGAGGGGGGGGGGGGGGAGAAGGGAGGGAGTCAATCAATAAAAAGAATGATTGTGCTCTTTGACGCCTCTGATAATCATCCCTAAAGATAATTTCCTAACGTGTGAATAAAACCCCCGATCTTCACCTGCATACAGCATAATCCTTAACTGTGTTTGTTTACCTCTAAGTAGATCACTGAGTAACGTGGCAGTTGAGAAGATGGCATTTCCAAACGCAAAGTGAATTTAGGCTGGATCTATATTGCCAAGAACTGCACTGAACTGCGTTATATGTTAGTGTACATCCAGCTTTATTTAGGAGACTGGCGGGCACATGAACACACTGGCCATTTCGTGTAGTTTCAAACCAGGGTTTTCGATGTGCAGATGACTTTCCATAGTAAATTCTGAGACCAGTTTCAGGTTCGGGTGGTGATGGCACAAAATACAGAGCACTGAAGCTCTTTCACATGTTTTTTTGGGAGGGTTGTTGTCTGGTCGCCACAGTTTGAAGTTCGAACTACATTATGGTCAGTGTAGACGGGGCCTGAGACGGATTTGCCTGGATCCTAAAGGCTTCCCTCAGCCCTGTGGACGGGGAACCAAATGCAGAGGCATCCCCCAATTTCAGTTCATGGAGCCTGCCTTAAACTCGCTTCTCCCAGAGCCTGGCTGCCTGCGTGATTGTGTGTGCAGGGAGAGAGACAAATCCTTGCGAGGTCATTGACCCAAAGAGGGCAGCTCTCTGCGTCCGTTGCCAAGCACAGACCGCTATCAGGATCCGAATCCAAGACTCCTGGGGAGGGATCTTCCTCCTCCTCCTCCTCCTCCTCCTCCTCCTCCTCCTCCTCAGGAGCCCAAGGTCAAGGGCGAGTTCGTCCCAAGGCAGCTGGAGGGAGGCGGGGCGAACCAGCAGCTCCTATCTCCAGCTTGGAGGCCATGAAACAGCGCCAGGCGAGTTCCCAAACTAGAAAAGCGGAAGGTGTTCAAATGAGGGGGTAAACCCCAGCCTTGTGGGACGCTAGTTTGAGAGGAAGCCCTCCTGAATGGCGACAAATAGGAGGGGAACACATTGCAATGGGATTGCAAAGGATGCGTGTCTGCAAAAGTTGGTTGGAGAAGGAAGAGAGCGAGGAAGACATTTTGCAGGTTCTTAGGGAGAAATAAACAAAAACTACCCATAGAGATGTTCAATGTGTTGTCGAAAGCTTTCATGGCCGAAATCACTAGATTGCTATGAGTTTTCCGGGCTGTATGGCCATGTTCCAGAAGCATTCCCTCCTGACGTTTCGCCCACATCAAGCAGACAAAAAAAGTTATTTCTCCCATCCTGGACATTCCACAGATATATGAACCCCATTTTCCTAGTTTCCAATAGACCTCACAACCTCTGAGGTTGCCTTAGATGCAGGCGAAACGTCAGGAGAGAATTCTTCTGGAACATAACCATACAGCCCGGAAAACTCACAGCAATCCAAAAACTACTCAGATCTCATCTTGTCCGTATAAAGTACCAGGGAGTGATGATTCTATTTTTCCTAATTGACTCCTCATTTCTCTCCCCGTTCGCCCTTTCAGGTTGGACGAGGCTCGCACGTGGGTCCCGTTCTTTTTGCGAAGCCTTGGCCTGCTTTCCTCCCTCCTTCTCTTCCCGGAGAAACAATTACGGTTTATGGGGAACATCTTCTTCGGAGACGCCTCTGACTTTCCACGGATCTTCGGAAGCAACTGCCGGCGCTGGTTTCAAGAGAGCTTCCTTCCTCTCTTCGGGGAAGCCTACGTGCCACCTCTCCATCTCCCTCTCTCTCTCTCTTTCTGAGGTTTGCCCCTCTTCTAGACTCTCCCTCCTCCCTTCCCGCAGCCTCGAATATCTCCCCGCAATCTCTGCCACGAAATGCAGTGGAGGCCAGCGGCGTGGCTGAGAAGCGGTCCACGGTTGTGGCCATTTGCTGCTTTCAATGCGCTTCAGAAGCCAGGAAAGTGATCAGGCTCCCTTTGCAAAGAAAGAGGGGGAAATGATTAGCAAAAGTACTCCGATTTAAACCTCTGGGTGTGCAGATTTCTAAGCGAGGACTAAATAAAAGTTGCACGCAAAGAAGAGAGGAAAGGGGGAAGAAACCCTTCGCGTTGGCGCATCTAAAGGAGAAGCAAAAGAGAGCATACAGGCATCTCTCTGAAGAGGATTCATGCCATTGAGAAGCATGAAAGGAGGCAAAGAGGAGCGAATGGGGAACATTTTCCGCACACTGTTGTGAGAAAGGGTCGGAAGTGTCGGGCCCTTGCCGGAAGGGGCTTCAAGGATGCCGTTTGCGTCCCTGGCTTCAGCTTCACCTCCGGCCCCGACGGCTTTCGAAAGGGTGCCATTCCACACGTGGCCACTTGGGGTCGCGCTTTAGGTCCGTTTGGAGCCGCTGAGGAAAGAGGGATGGGGGAGGGAGAGAGGGAAGGAAGGGAGGGAGGGGATAAGGAAGGAGGGAAGAGCCCGAACTACAGCGAGAGAGCGAGAGCCTTAATCTCCCTTAATCGTTACAAAATGTTCAAACAAAAACACGAGTTGGTGGACCCCCCCCCCACCCCATGCCGCCCCCGCCAGACAGGAAAGAAAGAAAGAACATACACGCAAGAGGCAGAAGAAAGCGCAGAAGCTCCCCACAAGTGAGGGGCCATGTGAGGGTCACTCTCTTCCCGGGGGCTGCCGCTTGGCTTGCTTCCCAAGCTTAATGCGTGCTTGTGCGAGTGGGTGTTAAGGTCCCAAGTCTTGCCACGGCCTTTCCTTTGGAAGGAACACTTCCGAGGCTTGGTCGATAAGGCTGGCATCTCTCTCCCCTTCCCTCCCTCCCTCCACTGTCCCGTTTTGTGCTGTGCTTGCTGTTCCCCACCTTATTTCAGGCTCTCAGGAGTTGGAGAAGCAAGACTTCTCTCTCTCTCTCTCTCTCTCCTTTGTCTCTGGGTTTGAGCTCTGGCCAGTCAATGGCAAGAGAGTTCGGGAAGCGGGGGGAGGCATGGGGACTGGGCCCAGGGACATGGGTGGCAGCTCCGGAAGGAGGGAGCCCCTCTGCCTGCCTGCCTGCCTGCCTCTTCTTCTCTGACGGGCCTGGGTCTTTCTCCAGCTGCTCCGTCAGCTGACCGGCTGTCACTCTCCCTGCCTGGCCCCGCCCCCTCCGGCTACCCCAGGAACTCCGCGTCCGGAGCCGCGGTTGGTCGACGCGCCCTGCCGGCCCCGCCCCTTTCGCCCGAGTGTCACCGAAGAAAAGCAATATAAAGAAGCCGAGGAGGGCGGCTCGGCGAATCACAGCTGTTCACTCCGCGCTGGAGGCTGCGGCTGGAGGAGAGAGAGAGAGAAAGAGAGAGAGACAGGGAAAGAGCGGGCGCCACTGCCGAATTCCTTTGCTGGCGGCTTTTCCCTTCTTCCTTCCTTCCCTCTTTCCTTCTTTACCTCCAACTCTCGCCCCTTGTACCCCCCCCCCCCCCACTCTGCTTCTCCAACCAAGCAAAGTGCCAAAGTTCCTCTTTCCAACGAAACAAAGCCAACAAGGACTTACAAACCAGAGCGAGAGGCGGGCTCTTCTTCTTGCCTTCGGTGGCTGGCTGCAAAGATCGCCTCCCGGGGAGAAGGGGTGAAGCCTGAAGCGGACTCCTCGCGGCTGCGTCGGCCGGGATTGCTCTCCTGGGGAGGAGAAGACAAGGTGGGGCGGCGCGCTGCTGCTTTTGGCTTTGTATTTGGCATTGAAGAGGAAGGAAGCGCCGGTTTGGGGGACCTGGGGGCTCCCAGGACTGAGAAGCAGGACAAGAGGAGGAGAAGAAAGTTTCTCCGGCGGGACTGGGACCGGGGAGGGTTGGAGGCTGGAGTGAGGCGGTGAAGCGGAGGCGCCCCCTTTCCTCCTCCTCCTCCTCTTCCTCCTTCCTCCTCCTCCTGCTGCCCCGCGGCCGGGAGCGAGGCGCCTCTCCTCCCCGCGGGCCCAGCGCGATGGCTGGCGAGCTGAGCATCGGCCCCGACTTGCCCACCAGCCCGCTAGCCATGGAGTACGTCAACGACTTCGACCTGATGAAGTTCGACGTGAAGAAGGAGCCGCTGGGCCGGGCGGACCGCTCTGGCCGGCCCTGCACGCGCCTCCCCCCGGCGGGCTCGGTCTCCTCCACGCCCATCAGCACCCCCTGCAGCTCCGTGCCCTCCTCGCCCAGCTTCAGCCCCACCGAGCAGAAGACGCACCTGGAGGACCTCTACTGGATGGCCAGCTCCTACCCGCAGATGAACCCGGAGGCGCTCAACCTCACCCCCGAGGACGCCGTGGAGGCCCTCATCGGCGCCCACCAGGTGCCCCAGCAGCTCCAGGGCTTCGAGAGCTTCCGCGCTGCCGCAGCCGCCCACCACCACCACCATCAACAGCAGCAGCAGCCCCCGCCTCAGCACCACCATCACCACCACCACCCCCACCACCAGTACCCCGGGGTCACCCACGAAGAGCTGGCCGCCAGCGGGCACCACCACCATCACCACCCTCACCACCACCAGGCCTCCCCCAGCCCCTCCAACGTCCCCAGCCCCTCCCAGCAGCAACTCCAGAACCCGCACCAGCACCAGTCCTCCTCTTCCTCCTCTTCTTCCTCCTCCTCCTCCTCCTCCAGCAGCGTGGAGGACCGGTTCTCCGACGACCAGCTGGTCTCCATGTCGGTGCGGGAGCTGAACCGGCACCTGCGGGGCTTCACCAAGGACGAGGTGATCCGCCTCAAGCAGAAGAGGAGGACCTTGAAGAACCGCGGCTACGCCCAGTCTTGCCGGTACAAGCGGGTCCAGCAGAAGCACCACCTGGAGAACGAGAAGACCCAGCTCATCCAGCAGGTGGAACAGCTCAAGCAGGAGGTCGGCCGCCTGGCCCGCGAGAGGGACGCCTACAAGCTCAAGTGCGAGAAGCTGGCCGGCAACGGCTTCCGGGAGGCCGGCTCCACCAGCGACACCCCCTCCTCGCCCGAGTTCTTCATGTGAGTCCTTCCCAGCCCTGACAGCCTTCGCCCCACGCCTGCCCTTCGCTCCCACCCTCTGGCATCGCCCTCCAGCTCTCTTCAGAAGAAGACCCTCCTGGAAATGGGAGGCTTGCCCTGGCCCAGGACTGCGGGGGGATCTTCTCCTCAACTGGACCCCTTGAAGGTCTGAGTGGGCACTTGGGGGAGGGTGAGAGAGATGGGGCAGGCGAGAGGAAAAGGAGGGGTGGGAGGGAAGGAAGGAAACCAAGGACTGGTTGGCACAGAGAGAGAGAAAGAGAGAGGGACCCACCAATGTTTTCTACCAATCGATTGCTTGCTTGTAGAACTTTTCACCTGGACTTTGCGAAACAAAGGGGGATGGGCACTGGGCAAGCCATCTAGAGTATGATCCGCTTTGGAGTTCTTTTTTGTTGTTGTTGTTCCAATATAGAAGAAAAGAGAAGGGGCAGAAAGAAGGAAACAGAGAGAGAGGACAATCTGTTTTGCTTGCCTCCTGAAAGAGAGACAGAATCCACACGGGACGTTTCCGTGCGAAAGGGGAAAGTGGGGTGGGTGTGTGGGGAAGCAGAACAAAAAAAGAAAAGCGTGAGAGGCTCCTCCTTGGTTTTATTGCCTGCTTGATTATATAGAAAAAAATTACGAAAAATCAGCATTAAAAATATTAATCCTGCATGCTGGACATGTATGGTAACTTCTATTTTGTACCATTTTCTTGTTTAAACTTTTTCGCATGTCGTTGCTCATTGACCATAGTTGCTTCTCCCCCCCCCCCCAACCCCCTCTCCCCCCATTTTATTATTTTCCTGTTTGTTTGCTTGCTTGCTTACTTTCATTGAGTAAGGAAAAAGGAAACTCATCAGTTATAGATAAGGAAGCCCCTCTTCCCGTTCATGCAACTGTTTGTTCCTATGTCTTTTTTTCCTAAGTAATAATAATTATTTTTGTTGTTTGTTTGTTTGTTTAGAGTCGGGGGCCCGATCCACCGGGCGCTCCTCGCGTGGGAATAGTCAGCCGGTGGATCGGGCCCTTGGGGAGCTTGTAAATATCGGCCAGGGCAAAACACACGAACATTTCAGCAGGCTGGTTTTCGATGGTTTTGGTCGCTGTTTATTTTTTCTTTTTCTTTCTTCTCCTTTTTTTTATTGAATTTTAAACCACAAGGGAAGGAAAGCGAGAGAGGGATTCTGGGCATTTTGCAATCAGAAAACAACTTTGTGGATGGAGTCCACTCCCCCCCCCCCCCCCCCCCCAAAGTGACACTTTTGATATCTGTTGAAGCTAGTTTTCATTTGGGGTTTTCTTGGGATTTGGAAAGGACTGAGCCGAACCGCTCTGAACCTTTCCTCCCTCCTAATATTCAACACAAGTCAACTCAATGAGTGGCTGAGAGAGCAATTAGAGAAAAGTCTGGACTCTGGATTTAACTTTGGAGGAAGGGGAAAGAAAGAAGTCCTTCTGAAATATATGAGAAACCCAGGAAGAGTATTCCTGGGTAGTCTCCAGTCTGCACTGGAGGATTAAGGCAGTTTGACAGCACTTTAACTACCATGGCTCAGTGCTATGGAATCCTATGCTATGGGATAGAAATAAAGTTTTTTTGTAGGGTTGTTGTGATTTTTTCGGGCTGTATGGCCATGCTCCAGAAGCATTCTCTCCTGACTTTTCGCCTGCATCTATGGCAAGCATCCTCACAACCTCTGAGGATGCCTGCCATAGATGCAGACGAAACGTCAGGAGAGAATGCTTTTCAAGCATGGCCATGCAGCCCGAAAAACTCACAACAACTCAGTGATTCCTGCCATGAAAGCCTTCGACAATGCAAAGTTTATTATTGTTATTATTATTATTATCCTGGAAGTTATAGTTTTACAAGGTCTTCAGCCATCTCTCCCAAGCGTGGAGGTGCTCCTCACCAAACTACAAATCCCAGGATTCCACAACATTGAGCCAATCCATGGCACGTCAAGTGGTGTCAAACTGCATTCATTCTACTCTGTAGATGCACTTTTAGAGAGACAGCCCATGCATTTGAGGATGGTCTTAACCAAACCCATCACCCCTCTTCCCTGATTTTATCACCCACTCAGGAAAAGATGAGGCTGGAGCCTAAGATCCCCTCATTTGTGACCTCTTCCCCTCGCGTAGCAACACTTGGCCGTTCCTTAGGCTTTCTTAAGCCTAAGACTTTCTTTCTTAAGCCCAAGAGAGGCTTCCTTCCAGCGGCTCTTCACCTGTTTGCGTTGAGATTGGAGTCCAGTTGATCAAGTGCAAAAGTCTGAATGGATTCCGAATGCAAAGGGAAAACAACTTTGGCAAAACAAAACAAAAAGTTTGCTTTCCAGACACAGCCTTCGCTTTTTCAAATGTATTATTTTGCCATGTTTAACCTGCTTCTTCATGCAGCCAGTGAGAGGGTTCAGCCAAAATTTCCTAGCCACTGCTAATAGTTAATAGCTTGGAGTCTTTTTTATGGGTGTTCTTTGATGATTATTTTCCCTCGTTTTGTGTTTTGATTTCCTGTTGTCCTTTCTTCTTCCCCCCCCCCCCCCCTCGCCTCCTCCTCCTCCTGCAGGTCAGTAAAAGGATTTTACGTTGCACTGACAAAAGTACCAAAATGAAAACCTTTTTATTTTTTAGTTTCCTTTTAGGGATTGCTGGCACTGCTGGCCGGATGCATTTTAAGTTTCTATTAGTTTATAAATTAACAGTAATACCAAGAATCGTGATAAATGAAGAGCATGGTGCTTGCTGTTTTAAATATTGTGGATATTAATAGTCATGCATCAGGAGAAACAAAAAAAAATACCCCTCTGAGCTTCTGGGTTTTTACGGATTCAACTGTGTTGAAGTCGCAGCGTTGCAACAGCAGTAACTATAACAAGAAATATTGTTTTTATTTCATGTACAAGTTCTGAAGGGATCAATTTCAAATCCTGCTTATGATATGAAAACTATTAAAAAAAAACCTTCTTGGTCTTATTGTAGTTTTATTTGGACTGGTTTCTGGAGTTGTTGCTGTTGTTGTTTTGGTTATTAAAATTGTTTCCTATTTTTGCTTATCAGAGTCCCCGAGGTGGAATTTTCTTTGGAGAGTTTCATCCCAAGTTGAATATATGGACGGAGATATTTGATGGTCCTTTAGATTTCAGTCCATCCAGTTAGGTGACTTCAAGAAAAAGGTATCCCTCACCTGCTTTCAAGCTAATCCAAAGGAGGTCGTGTGGTTCCAGCCTATGTGTGAACTTGAGTTAGGTAAAGGTAAAGGTTTTCCCCTGACATTAAGCCCAGTCGTGTCTGACTTTGGGGGGTTGGTGCTCATCTCCATTTCTAAGCTGAAGAGCCGGCATTGTCCGTAGACACCTCCAAGGTCATGTGGCCGGCATGACTGCATGGGGTGCCGTTACCTTCCCGCCAGAGCAATACCTATTGATCTACTCACATGTGCATGTTTTCGAACTGCTAGGTTGGCAGAAGCTGGGGCTGACAGCGGGAGCTCACACCGCTCCCAGGATTCGAACCTACAACCTTTCAGTCAACAACTTTAGCAGCTCAGCACCGGGGGGGGGGGGCTTGAAAACACTTGCAGTTTCAAACGTTGTAGTGACTTCCGAGTAAATAAATATGTGTACAGCACTTGAAACTGCATTGACTCTAACCCAAATGCACATAGGCTTGTAGCTTTTCACTGCTGGTAACTCAAGTTCACCATCGGTGAAAATATCCACAGCATCCCAGGTTGAATATTATGGAGGAAGGTATTTGATGGTTGGGTTGTTGTAGGTTTTTTGGGCTATATGGCCATGTTCTAGAAGCATGCTTGCCATAGATGCAGGCGAAATGTCAGGAAAAAATGCTTCTAGAACATGGCCATATAGCCCGAAAAACTTACAACAACCCAGTGATTTCGGCCATGAAAGCCTTCGACAATATTAGATTGCAGTCCATCCAGTGAGGTGACCTTTAGAGGACTTCAAGGAAAAGGTATCCCTCACCTGCTTTCAAGCTGATCCAAAGAAGGTCTTGTGGTTCCAGCCTATGTATATTTATTTACTCGGAAGTCTAACACTTCAACTGCATTGACTCCAACCTAAATGCGCATAGGCTTGAAGCTTTTCACTTCTGGGAACTCAAGTTCCCCATCAGCAAAATATTCTCAACACTCACTTGGGGTGGATCTAGACTGCAGTTTGATGCCATCTCGAATGCCATGGCTCAATGTTCTGGCATCCTTGGAGTTATAGTTGAGAGAGGCACGGCACTATTTGGCAAAGCAGGCAAAACTACAGCTTCCACTATTTCATAATCTTGAACCATGACAATTAAAGTGGTGCTAGACTGCAGGAAACTACAGAGTAGATCAGTGGTTCCCAACCTTTGAGCCTCCGGGTGTTTTGGACTTCAACTCTCAGAAGTCCCAGGCATTTTACTAACTATTAGGAATTGGGGGAGCTGAAATCCAAAACTCATGGAGATCCAAAGGTTGGGAACCACTGGAGTAGATGCACTATTAGTTTAGCCCTGTTGTAACAGCACTGTGCTCCGGTTTCTCTGAAAGTGAAAGGAATCCTGAGTGTAAACACACTCACTTGCTAGTCAAGGAGCGCAGCTACACTGTAGAATTAATGCAGCTTGACACCACTTTAGCTGTCATGACTCAATGTTATGGGACAATGGGAATTGTAGTTTCTTTATCCTTCTCTGCCATGGAGCCCCCGGTGGTGCAGTGGGTTAAACCCTTGTGCTGGCAGGACTTAAGACCGACAGGTCGCAGGTTCGAATCCGGGGAGAGCGCGGATGAGCTCCCTTTGTCAGCTCCAGCTCCTCATGCTGGGACATGAGAAAAGCCTCCCAAAAGGATGATAAAACATCACAAACACAAACCATCCCTGGGCAACGTCCTTGCAGACGGCCAATTCCCTCAAACCAGAAGCGACTTGCAGTTTCTCAAGTCGCTCCTGACACGGGAAAAAAAATCCTTCTCTGCCAGAGTGCTGGTGCCTCACCAAACTACAGCTCCCAATATCCCACAGTATTGAGCCGTGGGAGCTACAGTGGTTTCAAACCGCATTAATTCTACAATATAGATGCACCCAAACACCTTGCAAAGAGAGCTCCCACTGGAAAGAAACTTCGGATCACTACAGCTTCATCCACACATCCCCAAAAGTTACCAATCCCTTTAATTTGGGAGGCACTCCTTTGACTGACAGCTCCTCTTCCATCAGCCTGTCCCATTCCTGTCACCTGCAGAGACGATTCAACTACTGCTAAAAATCCTGGAGTCTATTCCCTTCAATTGAGTGCAGTTTGCATCTAATATGTTCTGGATCTGAGCTGGAGGTATGTGTGCCCATTTTTAATATTTAGGAAAGGTGGGGAAAGTCCCTTAGATAGCAACTCAATTTACTCTCAAGTATAAATGGGTGTTAGAGAGAGATCTAGTGCACCACCAGATTCTCTCCCCGCCCACCCCAAATGTGTGTGATGTTAAGTCTGCAAACCCCTGGGCCTGTCTGGACAATGTACATAACTTTTTGGAAATATCTCGCCTGGATTTAAGGCTCGTCCTTAAGGCAAGCCTCTCTGTTTGGGATTTAGGGAAGGGGAGGGGGCGTTTCTTTAGTGTTGGTTGCTCCAGTTCTGAATCAGTTTTTCCCACCCCTCTGTACCCCCAAACCCCCCTTTCTTCCTCTCCTAGAGGCAAAGAACTCTCCCTCTCCCAAAGGTGTTCTTAGCCCCGCTGACTCAGGCTTTGACATGCTCGCCCCTCTTTCATTAAGCCTTGGCTGATGCTGAAGAGAAGCAGGCAGAGGTCAACATCCCTCCCCTCTTCTCTCTCTCTCTCACGCCATCCCCGAACCCTGCCACGGAAAGGCGAGTCTCCAAATCATCGGAAACGGTGGCAACGTGTCGGCGCAAACGTGCACTTATTGTATTTTTTTTTAACAAAGGTGAGCGAAGCTCACAAGTTTAGGATAACTGGGTCACACTTCAAGAGGACCCTCTTTCCAAATCAAAGCCTCCCTTGCCTTTGATAACCCGGTCACACTTCAAGGGGACCCTCTTTCCAAACCAAAGCCTCCCCTGCCTTTGAACTCGGATCCTGGCCTTGGCAGATTTACTGAGTGGAGTCAGTGGACAAGATCCATTCAAGGAAGGCACTGCTGTCGTCTCTGAAGGTCTGCGTTATGATGACACTGGTTTGTCTCCAAAAGGTCCCAGGACTCTGTCGTCGCCACTGAATTGAACAAGAGTGATGCTCAGTAAATTCCTGAGAACTTAATCCCTGAGAAATAGAGTCTGACCAGATTTTGAAGCCCGGGATTGAGATGTGTTCAACTCAATGGGGTTTATTCAGGGCCCTTCCACACACCCAGAATATGATCCACAATATCTGCTTTGAACCGGGTTATCTGAGTCCACACCGCAATATAATCCAGATCAATGTGGATTTTATATCGCTGTGTGGAAGGGGCCTCGGTGAGGGAGAGCAATGGCTCCTCGCTCCCCACATACTGTAGTTTTCAGTGTGCAAGTACGCATGCATTCAGGAGTATATCAATCAGTTTTGGGTCTCAATCCGGAGAGAGAGAAAAGCAGGGAATAATAGAATATAAAATAGTTCCAATAATAATAATAATAATAATAATAATAATGATAATAATAATAATAGTAAAGGTAAAGGTTTTCCCCTGACATTAAGTCCAGTCGGGTCCATTTCGAAGCCGAAGAGCCGGCGTTGTCCTTAGACACCTCCAAGGTCATGTGGCCGGCATGACTGCAAGGAGCGCCGTTACCTTCCCGCCCGAGCGGTACCTATTGATCTACTCACATTTGCATGTTTTCGAACCGGGAATGATGGAGTAGGTAGGAAAATGTATATAATTGCATATAAGGTCATGTAGAGGCAGCACTGTCCACCCACAAGATAAGGTATGATCCTACTTTATTCTAAAGGCAAAAGGGAAAAATATGATCTTCGAAATGTTGCCTTTTAAACAACAAAAGGAGAGACTCTCATCTTATTGTGTTGGAAAGTAGGGATACATACAATATGTGAATACTTGACTTTTCGAGATGGAGTCAGAAAGGGGTCATAGAAGAAGGGATGGGATAGGCCTCCATTGCTGCGATACCCAAAGAGCAGGAAGCCAGAGAGACCCTGCCGGGAGAGAAGTTGGGGAGGGGGTGCAGGGGGGCTCCTGATCCCCCCTCTTGCCAAGGGAGGCACGCTCGGGCTGTCGGAAGGCCGGAGAGGAAGATTGTTCGTGGGAACTGCCATTGCATATTAATGTCCTCCCATGCATGCATTGAATAAATCACTGGAGCTAATTGAACAACACCCCCCTCCCTCCCCGCTCCCCTCTCCCTTTAGGAAAACAGGCCTCGGAGCAGCTCAGCAGAGGGAGGGAGGGCCTGGAGGTTTCCCATCGAGGAACCGTGCCAGAGGGAAGGCCGAGGGCAAGGGCCTGGCTGCCGAAAGGGACCCTCTTTAGGCTCATGCTTTTGTTGCCAAAGGAAAGCACAAGAAACCCCGGCCCAGGGCAGAAGAAGGCTGGGCGAAAGGTGCCTGGGTCTGCCCCAGCCCCCTCAGTTCAGAACCAGTCCTTGCTTCAGGTTCGCCTTATAATTGGGGATATATATTTTTTTGGAACCGAGTTATCTGAAGGGGAGCAGGGAAGGAAAAGGGAAGGAAAAGAAGGAAGAAAGGAAAGTAAAAGGATTAGGGATGGAAAGAGAGGAAAGGAAGGGAAAAGGGAAAGAAAAAGGGGAAGGGGAGCGATGGAAGCTGCCTCCCGGGTCGTCACTTTGGCGACTCCAAATGCCAAGGATCTCAGGACACTGGATGTACACACGTATCCGGCGGGTGAATCGGGGCGGGAGGGGGAGGCGCCCACACTCCACGGTGTAAAGGCAGGCCTCTGGGTTGCGGAGCCAGGCTTCCTTCTGAACCCCGGAGACACCCTCGGAGGGGCCTGGAGAGCAAGCA